TKTTTTTCTTTGTTTTGTTGTGGGTTTTGGGGGGTTTTTTTTAGAGAAAGCTGTCCATCATGTTCCATAATTCAGTATTTTTTTGCATAGAAACTCATAGCATTTACTAAAAAAAAATTTACAGGACTTCCTTGTGAGARYRAGAGAAATACATAATTTGAGCATCRTATAATATAGTCATCTGCCTGTTCAATTTCACTTAGGCTGACAGTGTTGCAGTTTGATCTGATGCCATTAAATGTAGTGAGAATTTTGAYACCAACCTAAATGGTATCTTAATAYATTTTTTCCCCTCCTTTCATGTAGGAAAATGGAATTGAAGCAAAGTTTTCTCCTCATCCATGCCCCAACTGGACCCTAGACTGGACCAGTCTTCCACCTGCAGTCAGTCCTGGGGAAGGTGAGGGTTTATATGTCTGTGTTTGTATTTAACAAGGCCTCCTTCTGCTGAAGCTACTTAACTTAGGAAATTCTTAGGAAAATGTCAGTTTTCAGTGTGTTTCAGAGCTCTCTAAGACAGGTAAGCAGATTCAAATCTCTGTTAAAAATCAGTCTGTGACACATGGTGACATAACTTCACTCAGGTCATCAACAGCTAGTGACCAAGCTGGGAACTAAAGATTGACCTTGATTTCAGTCRGCAGTTGACACAACCCAGAAATCCTAACCAAGCTCAGTTGTGTTGAGTTTTCCATAGAAGTAAAGGATACCTTCCATAGGAATAAAGGTACTGTGGTTGTCAATATGTGCAGACAGCAAAAAGAGGGTGGTGGGTCAGAATATAAAAGTATGGGTGGTCACARTGTGAGACAGAAGGAAAATGAAATACATCATGTGATTATTTCCCTATCCTAATGTATGTCGTCATAGAAAATGTTTTTGTTTTTTCTCTTGCAAGGCTGTGGCTGAAAATTTTGGGAAGAGTGGCTTGTTGAAATAAGAATGTTGAATGGAAATAGTGTGCTACTGCTGATTAATATGTAAGGTCTGGGAAAGAGGAGATTATATTTAATTAAATTTGTGACCAACAAAGAAATGCAAAATCTTCTCTGTGGTTTTATTAGGCAGCAGTATAGAGGAGGTTTTTAATCCTTTTTGAATCTTCAGTCAATCAGGGAGTTCTTTGCTTGTTTTCCTGGTCCTATGAGTGTGAATGCATTCATTGTCTTTGGGTTCATTTCCTACTCATTGCAAAGGCTTTGTGGATATTAAGATCAGTTTGGCTGGATATAAGAGGTGCTTACTTTAGGTTCATCCAAAGCACATTAAAGGGAAGGGGAAAGTGTGTSAATGTGGGGTTGGACACTGATGATAACCCTTGTTGCTACTTTATTACTCTGAAGATAAGCCTTTGGTGCTGCCAGGGTTTTTTCATCAAACATTGTGTTCACTGTGAAACAAACAAAAAAGAGGGGTTTTTTTAACAGTAATCTATTTTTCTTCTTTAAAACTTATTTATATTTATGGATTTTTTTAATCCAACTGTGAATTTCAAGAATTAACTGACCCACAGTCTTTCAAATCCTTACTACTTTCCTCACGAGTTGAAAAACTTGTTAYGCAGGAAGTACTTGAAAGAAGTGCTTTATTTGTGGTATCTCATTCTGAAATGAGCCATTGTTTCAGTACCTGTATACATGAGATGGTATTTACTTACAAAGGTTGTGGTTAGTTGTGAAGAACTTATACTATTCTTTCTAAAGAAATTGTTCACAGAGTGAACATAGCAAGTAGCAAACTGCATTCTGTAGGCTTGTAGATAATGCCCTCTTCCTTGTAAAAATACTTTTTCCTATATGAAGGGATTGTAGTAGGTCAGAAAAAGAACTCCTTAGCTAAAATATGACTTGGCATCAGGTGAAAGTGGAAAGACCCCTGTATGTGCACAGTTGGAAATAGAGAGGTCAGTTACAGAATGTGTGAAGAAGATCAGCTTAAAAACTGTAGACAAAGACAGATAAATAAAGCTAGACAAAAATAACTGCATTTTACGAGTGCAGCTTGCTCTTATCAATTAATGGAACACATGTAATCCTTTAACTTTATAGTTGGTCCAAACAAATTTAATGGGATTGAATATAAACATAGTTCCTAGTAAGTAATGACAAGTATATAATATAAACTTTATTTCTAGCAAAAAATGGATTCCTTGTATTGAATTGACTGGGACAAATATCTGACTTGTCAAGGTGAAATTTTCCATGTACAATTTAAAAAAAGCCAGTATGGAAAGTGAAAAGGTCTTTCACATCTTCTGTCTTGAGCACACAGGAGAGGGTGTTAATTTATCAGAAGACAACGCATGACTGCCTAGTTGAAGATAGAAWAACTCTGATCAAGTTTGTTTGATTTATGCTTGCTTTGTGATTGGTAAGGAGTTGATGGCCAAATTAAATTACTGTWTAAAACCGTCACAGAAAGGTTGACCTGAATAAAATGATACATACATTGATGCATGTCCTTTGTTTGCATTCCAGTGCTCAGACTTCGGAGAAAGTTGCTGGATTTTTAGAATGCTTAGCTTTTAAAATCAGATAAAATTTGAAAAACCCAGCATCTATTGTTCCATGATGAGGCTGTCCCTTATCACTTTAATTGTTGTGAGGAGACTTGTTACCTTGATTTATAAGCAACAGAATGTTTAACACTATAGTGTAAATGTGGCTTGGTGKTTTTTTTCCTTGGGTGGAGAAAGGAAATGAAGCAGCCTTCAGGAAGCAGAGATAGATAATATYGAAAATATTGCCTTTATGTTGTCTTCTTTTTTTTAAATAATTTAGGTCAGCTGAGAATTTGTTCTTCTAGTATGCATAACTTATGAATTAAGGCATCAGCTGATTTGTCTAGGGATGAGATAAAACCTCTGGTCTTTCTTTGAAGACTAAATATGCAGATAGTTGTGAGGCTCTYTTAAAAATTCATTTACCTATTTACTTGGGTGTTATTTTATAAAATGATTTCTCATTCATCAAACTCTCCTCAGTTCTTCSTACCCCTCTGCCTTGCCCAGCAACTCCTATTTTCTTTTATTTGGACAGGATCTGAAATATTAATCTAGAAGAAATGCCTCTGTACTTGTTTCTTTGTATCAGCTGCATTCTTTAAACTCACAAATTAATAAATTTTAAAGATGGATGGATGGTATGACCATCTGTACCTGTCTCCTGCCTGGTTCTGGCTATAAGCTAAGTTTGTAAATGCTTGTGCCAAGAAGAATGATTCACAGAAGAGTAATAACGCTCAAAAGATATCTGGTTGAAGGAAGAGTGGCAGGTTCACAGTATAAATTCATTTATCCAGAAWGGAGATTAAAGTAGATAAAATGAGATATTACATTCTTGATCTAGATAGATTAAATTAGATAATGTAAAGTGAAGGAATAACTTCGGAAGGACAGCAGTTTTTAAGAAGAGCTTCTATTAAATGTGTCAGATGGACAAGAKTAAAACAATGTTTACATTTGTTATTTAGAAACATGTTCAAAACTTAATTACCTTTGAATAACACAGGCTAGAACAATAACACAGAGCATGGTGTTCCAGTTTTGTGGAATTAACTGATGTTTTGGTTAAATAGTCTTGGTGGCTACCAGACAATCCTGAAGGATCAGTGTTGGCTTCAGCTTCCAGAACTGATACTAAGTAAAGGATACTTAAATGCAGTGTGGCCTCTCAACAAGGAAAGAAGAAAATTTTGAAAATTTTCTTATCCTCATCATAAACAAAATTAGTTTTAATGGAAGAAACAGCACTTAATGATGTAATTATCTTCTAACCAATATAAAAGTTTGTGACTTAATGTCCACGTTGAAGTTGTTTGTAATTGTTCATTGAATTGAATAATATAATAATTGTGGAATAAATGGTGTATTAGATGCAGAGTTGTTTGATTTGAAATTGTTGTCAGAATTGATACAATATATCCAGGTTGTTTCTGGGATTTTTTTTGTGAGTCTAGACCATTGTTATTTTGTTCTGCTTTTCATATTGGTGTTACCYTTTGAGTATTTTGACTTGAAAGATGCTTTCTGAGTTGAGAGTACATCATGCTTAAAAATCAAAGATGGTTTAGGGAATCTGACATTTTATGAAAATTTTTACTAATCAAGAGATGTAAATTGTGTATTTTACTTTAAATGTTAAAAGCAATTGTATTTTTAAAATTAAGTCCAGATAGGCATTTGTTCTGTAAAACAAAAGGAGTTAAAAGAAACACTTGAAAGTTCTCTAATTCCCTTTCAAGCCTGTCAGAACTTTTTTAAATACTTTGAAGATTTTTTAAAGTAGTTTTTTTAGCCTATTTCAGTGTCTCAGGCATCCTGAAGCAGGAAGCATCCTTCTTCAACTAATTTTTTTCTATCAGACAGCTCTTTGCCTGCAAGCCACATGGGTGTAACAATCCAAGGGAAACTCAACTGAAGCTGCTTCTCATTAACCTCTCCTTAAAGTTACAGTTTTTCTGCACTCATTAAAATAAATTTAAACTGCATTTATGTGTGCATTATATTTTGCAGTTCAAGATCTGTAAAACCTGTGATGGCAATTGAGCCAGGTTGCCTCATATTCATGATAAATGCTTGAGAAATAAATAATTTTCAATAACAAAGGAAAGCCACTCATTTTTTTTCATATAGGCAACATTGGTGTATCTTCTTTTACTGGCTTGCGCTAGAAAGGATATTCTTGCAAAACTCTGTGTTTCATATGTGACTTCTTTGGATCTTTCAACTGTTCAGGGATATAACATTTCATGGTTGGCCTGAGGACAGTTTTCATGGAAGTTTGAATGCAATTACTAATTTTTAGACAAAAAGTTATCTTTTTAGCTGGAAATAACAACTTAGGCRTGTCAATATATAGTGTTCTTACTGTTGCTGTGCTCTTCCTTAATTTTTCTTTTGTGATTGTCTTAGGTTACCAAGSAAAACAAGGGAAGAGAATTAATTATTTTCTATTATTAAGATGCCTTTTTGGAGACAGGAGGCAAAGCTATTATATGGCTAAGTTAAATCAGTAAGTAGTAATGATTTAGTAATGATTTACTAAAATGAATACTCTTTGAGAACATAGCTGGTTTCGCTGCGTCATGAAATCAATGCATATGCATTTTGAGGGATACAAGTTCAKTACATTTATGTTTGCATGAAGTCTCTTGCATTTTCTCAAGTGATGTTTTGATCTAAGTGATGTGCCTGCAGCCTCAGAAATATTCAAAATATGCAAAGAAGAAACAAMAATTGCTAGTGTATCTGATTAAAAGTCATACTAGAAAGAATAATACCAAATTCTAACAGCTACATTTTGCTTCAGTGAGGGCACATTCTCCTTGGTGTTTGGCTTGTKCTGTAAAATCCTGTTATGATGAGTGTCATTGATGGACTTTTATATGGCTGATAGTCAT